AAGTATCTTTATTATCCCCAAGTGGCAATTAGTTTCACAGTCAGTAGGTATAAAACATACTGCACAAGACATTAAGACATTAAAATAACAATACGGAAGACATCGGTGTTCACTGAGAAACCTGATCACCTGATAGTTGATAGTGAGGGATGTCATCATGGAGACTGATGAAACAATGGTCTCTTTTGATGTCACATCACTCTTTACGTGCACTCCTGTTGATGATGCAGTAGAGGTGGTCAGTTTAAGATTAACATCAGACACCACTCTGAGCAACAGGACCGGCGCCAACTCTTGAAACTGTGCCTGCAGTCAACCTACTTCACATATGGGGAGCAATATTATAGGCAGAAACATGGGTGTGCTATGGGGTCTCCAGTTTCTCCTATTGTTGTAAACCTGTGCATGGAGGAAGTAGAAAAGAGAGCCTTGATGTTCTTTTCAGGGACACCACTGAGTTGGTTCAGGTATGTTGATGACAACTTAAAATTAAATCTCAGAAAGTCCAACATTTCACTGATCACATCAACTCTGTGGATAAATATATACAGTTCACATGAGAAGACTGCAGGTTTACTCGCGATTCCTAGAGTTTCCAAAAGCAAAATAGGAGGAAGCTCTTTCAGTTGTCAGGCTCCTCTCTTGTGGAACCAACTTCCAGTTTCTGTCTGTGAGGCTGACACATTGTCCAGTAAAGACTGGGCTTAAGATTTTCCTTTATGATAAATCCTATAATTAGGGTCGGTTTGTTATGCTGCTATAGGCTTAGACTACTGGAGGGCAAATTTACCTAATTTCCTTAAATGAGTTGCTAAAATTGAATAGTTTTTGTTTGATAATATCTTAACATGTGATTCTTGACCTGCCATTGTGTATCTGTTCCTACCAAACCCAGCCGGTCAAAGCAGACGACCGCTTGTTCTGAGCGTTGTTCTGCTAAATGTTTCGTCCTCGTGAGGGAGTTTTTCCTTTCCACTGTCGCCTTCATGCTCGCTCAAGATGAGAGTTCTGTGACGGAGTTAAACTCAAAGCAGTCTGCTCCTCAGATAAATAATGTTAAATTATTATTTTTATATGTTTCTGTTCAGTGTCCTGAGACGACTTCTGGTGTGACTTGGTGCTATATAAATAAAATGAAATGAATTGAATTTGTATTTATTTTTCTCTGTTTGGCTTCAAATTGGGTTTAAAGTTGGCTAACATCTATATTTTTGTGATATGACAATACAAAAAAAATACAGTATTTAAAACAGAGCAAAGATTTCTATTTGGTTTATAAATCATCCACATAAAATGTCCTATCAGACAGATGTAAATCTTCTCTCGGGCTGGTAAGCAAAGACAAAGACCCTGAGACTAGACTGATGGAGGGGACGTGATGTGAGAGTTTAAACTCAGCTGGACGAACTGCCAAATGGACACTGACATCATCCGCTGGACGTGCTGTTACAGAGAGGCCAGGGGAGAAAACAGGTAGGAAGGTTTTATTAAAGCGTCATCGGCAGAAAATCTCACAATCTTGGACGGATTTTGGTTTTTATTTTTGCAGTGTGTTGCCTAACATTTGTCCAACTGACCTTCAAAAACACAAAAACAGCTACAACTCCATCAATTCTCAACATGAGGTGTTGTCTTTTAGTTACTTTTGGCTTCTTATCTCTGATATAAAAAGCAGCAATCCTTCAAGGATTCTAGGCAGATCCCCACCAAAGGAAGTCTTTTTTCATTCTTCATCTTAATCCAATCGTGACCGTGAGTGGTGTTTTCAGAGCAGGATGATGACATCATCGAGCTCTCCTCTAAACCTGTCACCTAAAACAGATTGACATGGTGCAGGAGCTGGACCGGTCCTGAGCTAAGTGCTGCAGCAGCCGCCTCATCAGGCTCATTTCAACAGAATCAGCTGGTTTCATCCACAGCTGATCCCAGATCAGTCCAACACCTTCTTCTTTCAAAAACACTCAGATATGTCTTCACCATTTAAACCAGAATGCTGACAAGACTTCAATATTTTCTACCACTCTTCTAAATTAAACACAGTCCTAGCGTTCCTCAAAGTTATAAATTGACCTCTGACCTACAACAAGTTGCTAGTTTTAAGCACTTTTCTGCACTGCATGCATCCATTTTTTTTTGCAGATGCCTAAGTGGAAAATTAAAACTGACGGATCATATTCATCTAGTTTGAAACAAAGATCCAGATGTATCCAGGTGTTCTCCTCACACATCATTCACCATTCTGTCACTAACCTGCTGTAAACGCGAAACAACCATCGGTAATTAACAAAAACAGACAGCAGGCTCCACGGCTGTCAGATCAGACATGGCATTTCCCCCCATCCTTTTCCTCCATTCACGTGTCTCCTTCTTCTAGGAAGCGCGGAGATGCAGATGAGAGGAAGGCGAACCTAAAAATAGCATCTCTTCAATTTTGTGCCCAGAATCCAGAAGCAGGACGCGGCGAGGGGAGCAGGCAGGATGTGGAGGGTGCTTATTGATGCTGCAGTCTGCAGGTGGATTCGGGACGGCTTCATTCATTCATTCAACTTTTATTTATACGGGCTAGCCTCGTTGAGCTAGAGTCTCAGCTTGGAGAGTAAAAGTTAAACCTCGCTTCTGTTTGTGGATCAGTTTGTGCAACAAACACTTGCCTTCATTTTGATTTACTATTTACTATTTTAGCCAAAACGTTCAGCTCATTCAGGAGATTGGTGCTATGACTATTTTGTTTGCAACTTTTATACTTTTCAAAAGGTTTAACCTTAATTACAGATTGGGGATGCATGATATTATCAGCATGGTATCGGTATCAGACGATATTAGCATTAAAATTAAATATCGGACATCGGCCGTTCCATCAAAATAACACCAATATAAAAGACACTGTTTTTGTACGACAACCCAGTGAGAAGGATGCCTGCAGCACCAGCACAACGTGATGATGTCACGCGCACCTACCTGATCTGATCACGGCGGAGAGGAAGAAGTCAAAATGTCGGCGGCGTGCAAGTTATTTTGTCTTTGAGGATGTCGGATTCTGAAGATTTATGGACTACGTTGAGCCTCGCTACATCGTCCCCAGTCAGATATTTTTCAGACGTAGCCTTACTCGTTACAAGCCGTCATTTCCTACGTCATTGAGAAGCTAATAGCTGATAGCACTTGGGTGAGTTTTACCACAGACATTTGGACGTCAAGTGTTAGCCTCGTTAGCATGATTAGTCTTACGGCAAAATGGATAGACAAACCTTTGATCTTAAAAAGTCTGTCCTTCATGCACAGGAGTGCAGAGGATCCCACACTGCAGCTAGGAACCTGGAACAAGCCTCCACATGTGAGACAGCATCACACGTGACTAATACTAATAAATAACATTTAACTCTTTTCATTTAATATAAGTTAAAGTGCTCTGCATATCATATGGCTGTTACTGAATATATGTCACCAGCTCTTACAGCTGTTACACAGTTTTTGTAGCAAATAAGACTAAATAAGAGGGCTATGTTCTGACAAAGGAAAGTATATTAAATATCGGTATCGGTTATCGGCCAAATAAGTTTTAACATATCGGCATATCGGCCCAAAATCCAATATTGTGCATCCCTAGTACAGATGTTTCCCCACTGATACCTCTACTTCATTCAGAAACATTGTTCTCCTTAAAATCTGCTTCAGCAGAACTGTTTTGTCTACTTATGCTAATTTTAGTTTTTAACTTCCATTCTGCTACTTTTTGTCACTTTTAGTGAACATTTTGCTACTTTTAGCCTTTAGCTAATGTTTTGCTGCTTTTAGCTAGTGTTCTGCTTCATTTTGCTTCAGCAAATGCTCCCGTTCAGCATTCACTGCATTTTCACAGAAAATACAACTTTCTCTGAAATCCAAAGAGCTTTGGTTAAAAAGCTACAGAGGTAGATGCAGATCCCTCCATGCTTCCTGTTCTTTAGGCCTAAAATTTTAATGTCAGGACTAAAAGACTTTTGAATTATTTTCTCTGCTGTCAAAAGCATATCTCTCAGAGACTTTTAGCTCCCATTTACAGTCCACTGGTATTTGAAAAGCATCAGAACCACAGTAGCCCAGTCAGACTGATGTGTCTGGAAGGATCTGGCAACATGGCGGATGGATGTACGATTTTCTGCCATGTGACACAACAGACAGTCACTCTCGCCTGCAGGTCAGGCAGTGAGTTCAGTGCCAGCACAGGATGTGCAGATGTGGCCTGGACAGCCAGAGCTCAAATGAAACACACAGACGTGTTTGGAGGTAAGAAAAAGACACCAACAGAGTCTTCACCCTGTGTTACTGTGTCTTTGTATTGATTTCCTTTAATAACCAAACTCACTGACTCTAATGCATTATGGTTCTGGACAGTAAGGCTACAGCTTAAAATGTACTGAAGCAGTTTTGTCTTCTGTTACATATAGCAGATTATAAACAAGCTTTTAAGCCATTTCTATCTGTGCATTTTGATTCTTTTGGCTGTATTTATTAAAAGATAAGCGTGACATATTATTAAATGTTTTGAGCTCCATGGCACAAAGCAATTAGATCCCAACAATATTCCTATTATCATGCAGGCACTGATGATGAATCTAAATATTAGTAATATTATTAAATATTAGTAATTTGTTCATCATTATGTATGCAAAAGTAAATTCCTGTCGCCTGGCTTGATCCAGTCTTTTATTGTAATTCTGTATCAGAACAGTTTGGATCGTGGTTCTCGCCCTTTTCCCTGCAGGATGCAGACCCAGAATCGAACCAGAGACCCACAAAAGCAGCAGCAGCCTTCATTCATTCACAGATAACAGCACATTATGGATAACATGGTTTTTAACACTGGAAACAGCTGTTGGAGAAAGCGTTATCTAAAGAGCTGTCGGGCATATATGCAACTTATAATTTACATTAAATAGCAAACGTGTAGTAAATATAAAATACATTTAAATGTAAATAAGGATGTTATTTTAATGTACTAATACAGACATAAGACCTACCTTTGCTGGTTTCTATCCGGCTGCTGTCCACCGCGTTCAGCACCCTCAGAAACACCGAAGAAGTCAAGTCAGAAAGTCTGAGCACAACAACATCCGGTTTACACTTCAAAACAAAAGCACATCCGTGGCAAGTTTCAACAAAATATTTTGCGTTTTGAAAGGTGTAAAAGTGTAAGTTTTAAGTAATAGATGTTCATACAAATAGCTGTAGTCTATGTCAGTGTTGGTTTTGTCTCTTTCAAATACTTTTGTTGGCTCTTTGCTAGCAAATTTAAAAATGTAAAAAGCTAATTTAAAGGAGCTTTAGAAAGAAAAAGACTTCCAGTAAGTTTGGATTTTTCTCTGATCAGAGGTCAAGGCTTTGTTACAGTTTTTAATGCCAGATAATGTTTTAATACACAAGATTTTAAAAAATGAACTAAAAGTTAAATGTTGTCTCTCATCTTCATGTTTGTACTGCAACATGTTTGTAAAAATGAGGTGGAGCTCTTTCTTTTATATATTATACATTTTGTTGAAAATAAATAACGAACAAAACGTGTTTAAACAAGATGAATTTGTTGATTACCGTTCAAATATTTGATTTGGATAAACGTCACTTGACGGGAGAAACACCAGAGCTTCACTGTCAATATATCAACAAATTATAAACTTATTAACAGAATAAATGTCTTAAAATATTCAAAAGAATAATTGCAACTTCAACTCATATAAACTGCTATTTTGTGTTTTAACCAGTAATAAAATAATTAACACACTATAATTGCAGCTTTTCTTTATATAGTACCAAACAAAAATGTACTGATTTTATTAAACATTCCAGCACTATTTATATACATAAAAACTAATACAAAATAAAAATAATAATTTATTTGTGCTTTAATTTGGGTTGAATGGATTTTGATGTATTTTTGCATGATTTAATTCAATCACTTTTTGTCTGAAGGAATTTTTTAATGTTGCCATGACCTTGTAAAACAATAAACTTCCTTTTGATATTTTAATCCAATCTGACGCGGATATTTATTATTATTTTGAAAGCTTACACAACTTCCGTTATTTTCGCCTTCAACACGTGACCTTAACAAGGCCTCGGCGAAGCAGCCCGGTGGGCGGGACTTCAGTGACTGTGAAAGATTGACAGCTCCCTTAACGAATCCGGGGCTGCAACATCCGTCCTGATACATTCCGTGTCAAATAATGAAGCAGTCGTTTATTATTGATGAGCGCTGCCGGAGAAACTGAATTATTGATCAGGAGGTCAGCAGTAACCACTGCTGCCATTTCTACAAAGGTATAATACACCGGGCAGCTGAAACAAATATCTCTGCAGAGAAAATAAATCAATACCAACGGGACACAGAACAGGATTTAATACACAGTGAACACAACTACAGTCAGTACAAACCTAATTTTATGACATAACCTGACAAGGACTTTGCGTTCTTTATGTTCACGATGTACCCCACAGCTTATAAATGACTTGCAGTGCTGCCTTATAGCCTGCAGGTGGCAGTGTGGACTAACGTGTTTATTCATCACATAGGTTTGAAACTTAATGCGTTAACTTTTATTTCTTTACCTAAAAATACATACAGAGTTAAAATATTGGTTTTTTTTTTTTTGTAAGTATAAATATTTTTTAAAAACATTTTTAGTAAAATGTTATGATAGAGACTGGTGTCCATGTCCAGCTAATGCACTTTCCTGTGATGGACTTGCGATGGTATACCCTTTTATATTATGCTGTGCTGAAGTATTTACCCATGTAACTATTTAGGAAATAATTAGTAGATTTTTAACAACTTATTTAACTTAAAATTGCTCTAATAAATACTAAACGGAAGTGGTGTTGCAGTTGATCCTCCTCACCAGGCGGCGGCGCGCTAACATCTATTAAAAGCGTGGTCTTTGGACATTTCCTGTCATTTAGTGAACGCTTTCCTCCGCTCAGAACGAAGAGAATCGTTTACATTTAATGTATTTTATGTTCTTAATTGAACCAAGCAAAAAAATAATTTAACTTTTCGAAATTTTCAGAAGAAGAAGAGAAACTCGTTTCCTGCGGGGAAACCGAATCCGACACAACACCGGTTCAGGTAGGCCAGCTTCTTTGTGATTTGCTTCATGTTCGGTTCAGCGGGGTCACTCTAAAACTAAAAGTCTGTTTTAAAAGGTCCGTGACAGCCGAGAAACTTGAGAAAGAAAAAATGTTTTAATGGTGTTCGTTCTGGTTGGATATACAGGTCAGGGGTCATTCTGACTCAAAGTCCCCAGACAGCCTGAGCTTAATGTTTCTCTAGAAATCTGGACTGTGACTCTGTCAGCATGAACTTTGACCCACGAAATAATGACAAAAAAAAAAGGGCGTTGTAAAAGATTTAAAAACACCAAGGGTTCAACTCATAAAGCATTGCATTTTCACATGGTTAATATAATTTTAGAGGTAATGAAATAAATACAAAGATGGTAGGTTTTTACAACAAAAATGGCACTGAGTTCTCATTCATCTTTATTATCAAGTTATATAATATAAGTTATAAGTTACCATAATTAAACTATACAAAAACCCTAGAGCCTGGATGTCAATGGCAGAAATATACTAAATTATTCAGTGTAAACCTGAAAGATTATGAATGAGGAGAGAGGCGGAGATGGTGTAGAGGCAGGGCAGCCGGCTTGGGACCCAAAAGTCCCAGGTTCAATCCCCAGTCACTGCACATCACGTGGCGTCTCTGGGCAGCACACCTCATCCCCAACATGCCCCCCGGGCGCCCTCAATAGCTGCCCACTGCAACACCTGGTGGTGGATGGGTTAAATGCAGAGACTGATTTCGCCATTGTATGGAAACATACAGTGCTGACATTGTGATGACATTATTATTATTATTCATATTTCCAGATTGAGGTCTCTGCAGTTACGTGTGAGGACTTTCTTTGTTAAAAAGGTTGAGTCGATCAGGTCACTGATTCCTCACAAAATAGTTTTCATTCAATTAAACAAGTTCTTGAGTGGAAATTCTATTCTTGCGATCTTTCAGTCTGGCTTTAAGAAACTACACAGCACCGAAACAGCCTTAGTTAGGGTCTGCAACGACATTCTTCTGGCAAATGACTCTGGTCAGTCTGTAGTCCTGGTACTCCTTGACCTTACTGCTGCATTTGATACTGTGGACCACAGTATCCTTTTATCTTGGCTAGAACACTGGGTTGGGATTACTGGTGCAGAGTGTTGTTCATACCTGAACGACAGGAGTTTCTGTGTTAATTTAGCTAACACTCCATCTACTTCAGTGCCTCTTTCCTGCAGGGTCCCGCAAGGCTCCATTTTTGGACCCCTTCTGTTTTCTTTGTATCTCCTCCCCTTAGGGTCTGTCCTGAGGAAACATGGTCTTTCCTTTCATTGTTATGCTGATGACTCTCAGATCTATCTGCTGTTAACACCTAACGGTTCCTCCTCCATTCGCCCTTTGTTAAAATGTCTTGATGACATCAAGACTTGGATGGCTGCGAACTTTTTGAGTTTTAATGATCAGAAGACTGAGGTCATTGTGTTTAACCCTAGCTCTGCCACTGTCACTGATCCTGCAAACCTGGACTCCCTTCAGCCACATCTAAAACAGTCTGTTACCAATCTCAAGATAGTTTTAGACTCGAACTTTTAAGTTTAATAAACAGATAAATCCTTTTCTTCAAAAAAGCTTCTTTCAGCTAAGGCAGATAGCTAAGCTCAAGTCCGTCCTGTCCACATCCGACCTTGAAAAATTAGTCCATGCGTTTATTACAACCCGGCTGGGCTACTGTAACTCGCTTTATGCTGGGGTCAGTCAGGTCTCTCTCTCACGTCTCCAGCTTGTCCAAAATGCTGCAGCTCGGCTACTAATGGGAACTCGCAGGTTTGAGCACATTACTCCAGTTCTGTCCTCTCTTCACTGGCTTCCTGTGCGTGTCAGAGTTGATTTTAAGATTCTTCTGCTGACATTGAAGTGTGTTAACGGCCTTGCACCCTCATGCCTCTCCGACCTCCTTCATCCTTATACTCCTTCTCGGGCCTTGAGATCATCAGACCAGCTGCTTTTGGCCGTACCAAACACCAGGCTGAAGCTCAGAGGAGATCGGGTGTTTTCAGTCATGGGCCCTAAACTCTGGAACAATCTGCCCATCAACATTCGACAGGCCACCTCAGTCTCTATTTTTAAATCTCTCCTCAAAACACACCTGTACTCACTGGCATTTAACACAGAGTGATCTCATTTGGTATTTCGTCGTTGATGATTGTGTTCATCCATTTTGCTTTTACTCCTTGACATTTAATGCAGGGTGATTTAATTTAGTATTTCATTGTTTCTCATTATATTTCATGTTTTTATGCTTTTATTCATGTTGCTGTATTATCTTAATATTTGATACTGTGATCTTTTTGGTAAGCACTTTGATAATAGTTACTGTTTTAAATGTGCTATATAAATAAATGTGACTTGATTTGACTTGACTCATCGTTTATTGTCTCAATGTGATCTATTTTATCTTGCTGATTTTTTTTAGGTTAACATAAAGTCTCTATCCATTATTATAATTATTAATATAAGAGTTTTTATAAGTTGTAGTGTAAATAAACAGCTTTGTTGTCATAAATGTTGTGCTTTTTTAAGGGTACTAATTCCAGTGTTGTGAAACTTAATCATAAAAAATCCTGAATTACATCAAATGGTGCACTTTGAAAGAGTTTAGTCCAGTAATTTTCCATCTTGCACCTTGTTGCATTAGATCGAACCTCATCCCTGCAGCATCACTGAGCTTCATTAAGCATTTTGTGCTTTCTGTGCTATCAGATTCTGTTTTTCCCATTGATTGATGGGAGTATCATCAGTCTATGGTGGAGTTTCCAACTTGGAGTGATTAAAACGTGTCTGCGTGTTCTCCCACAGATTTATTTTCCCCTTCAACAGATGATCGCGTTCCCTCTGCGGTCTGAACATCATGCTTCCCCGGGCGGGTAAAGAGTTTCTGGTCCGTATACGGTTCTCCTGGAGGCCGTTTTTCCAGGGCCGGTACCTGCTGCTTACTAACACCCTGAGTGGAGGATTGATGCTGTCGCTGGGAGACATCCTGCAGCAGACCCGCGAGAACCGCAGGGAGCCAGGCAGAATCCGAGACTGGGGGAGGACAGGTGAGCAGAGGGGAGGCGGCCTCTCTATGAAATGTGTTTAAAGATCCAGCAGACTGTCTCTGACAGAGTTCACTAAACTTTGTCCAGCGTTTAACTGCTCAGGGGATGGTTTGTAGATTTACTGAACGGTTCTGAGGTTTTCACACTCTGTAGTTCCTTTAGCACGTATGTCAAACTCGAGGCCCGGGGGCCGAATGTGGCCCTCGTTGACATATTATTTGGTGCCCAAGATGATATTTTAAATGTAAAAATACTTTTCTCACAATTCAGTAATCTTTGATTATGATGTCAAAAGTGCAACAGAGGACGTCAAATGAGACCAGTCAAACTCTTGTTGAGGAACCTGCAATCAGGAAAAGATGTTGGGTATGTAACTTGAGTTAATGTAGATTCTGAAACCGGCCCTTAGTTTGAAAAAGGTTTTAATGTTGGCCCCCTTTTGTAAGTGGGTTTGACACCCCTGCTTTAGCAGGAGAACATCCCCAGAGCATGATGCCACCACCTCCCTGCACAACAGCTGGCACAGAGTTCTTGTTTCAGCATCTTTCTGATTCTTGCAGGCTTGCACCTTTTGTGGTTTATGTTTCTTGATTTTGAAGGGACGGTCAGGGTCTTTCTTCAGATCTTGGTGATGGCGTCTTCGATTAACTTCCTTCCCCCTGAACAGTTTGCACAAGATTAAAATATACATTGTTCAGTGTGTTTATGCTTCTTTTCTGACTCATTGGTCTTTATTCCCTTTTATTTATTAACTGTCACCCTGAAGGTCGCATGTTTGCGGTTGGCTGCTCCATGGGTCCACTGCTGCACTACTGGTACCTCTGGTTGGACAGAGTTTATGTGGGCAAAGCACTAAAGACACTGAGCAAAAAGGTTCTGGTGGACCAGATCGTCGCCTCACCGACGCTGGGAATGTGGTATTTCTTAGGTACGTTGATATTTATTGTCTCCCTCCTACTGTTGTGGACATACGCACGCCTTAAGATTTGTCGGGGTGTGAACAAAGAAACCGTTTTTTTTTAATGACGCATGTAAGAAAGCGTGCAGGGTCAAAGGTTGTGTGTAAAATTATGGGTGAGGTGATGCAAAACAAACAAAATCAGGAGTATATGGAGTTCAAAGGACATTTGAGATCAACAATTAAGATTTTACTGGCGTTCTGGGAATCCTGCGTATAAAAGTCCACTGCTCTTTGTGTTTCTGACTTTATCTTGAGATGATTTTAATCCCGCTTGGCGCTGACGCACATTTTACAGACGACTCTGCTTATCGCAGGTATGGATCTTATGGAGGGACGCACTTTATCAGAAGGATGGGCAGAGTTTCGGGAAAAGTTCTGGGAGTTTTATAAGGCAAGTGTACCGGTCGGGTCGGACCTGACACACAAGTTATTGTTCGCTTATCACAACTTTTACATTTGTGACAACTTTCTCTTCTTATCTCTCGTGTTCATAAAAACGCGGGAAAATTAAAAAGTGAACTTCTCTGTTTTTGGATGAATTGAACCGAAATAACATTTCGGTCACAGTCCAGTAGTTTTCCTTGTAGATATTTTCTGCTTCAGGAGAACAAATGATGCAGCTGTCACATAAAGCAATAAAAAAAAAAAAGATGGAAGAAGGTTAAAGCTTTTTAAAATAATTTCATGCGTTCGTTTAAAGCTCCTTGCTCTTATTCAACTGAAAAATACCCAAATAAAAACCTCTAAAAATGGTTTATGCCACATCGTTTATGGTTGTAATTTGGTAGAAGTAGTAGTTAAAAACAAACCGTAAGGAAAGAGAAAACAAACTTAGCTGGTGGACATCCATTAAAGGAACACTGAAGATAATAATTCCTTAGGAATTATTGTAATCTCCAGGGAGATTGTGTCAGATCTGGGAAGACTTCAGTCAGTCACGTAGGTTTACTGAGTGTCAGACAGTCCTATTCCCCAAAGCCTATTTAGTCTTCTTTAATACAAACACATTAAAATACCACGTTAAATCAAATTAAATAAGCATGAATGACTTTAATGGATTAGAGGAAGTCCTCCTCCAAATATTATTGTTTCCATTTACCTTTTACTCTTAAGAGCAAACGGTTCTGACGTAGAAAAGAATCCCAAAATCTCCACGTCCTCTTTATTTTCTTCACACTGGAGAATTTTATTTAAACGACATCTGGGACGGTTTTTCTTTGTAGAAACTCCGAGGTTTTCTCGAGTCAGGGTTGTAAGAGCAAATGTTTGCTTCTCATCAGAAAACGGTTGTTTCCCTCCTCGCCTCATCCACCATGTTTGCTGCGAGTAAATCTGTTTGTGCTTCTGCCGACAGGTGGACTGGTGCGTTTGGCCCGCTGCCCAGACGATCAACTTCTACTTCCTGTCGCCCAAATTCCGTGTCGTGTACATCAACTTTGTCACTTTAGGATGGGACACCTACCTCTCCTACCTCAAACACAGAGTGAGTCTGGTTTTAGATGCAAAAACAAGTATTTTTCAGTGCACCGTATTTTTCAGACTATAAGGCTCACTGTCGATTTTTGAGAAAATTAAAGGATTTTAAATGCGCCTTATAGTCCGAAAATACAGTATATATTTTTTAATTAAAGACAATAAAGCTGTTTTCCCAGTCTAAAATTGGTTATTGTTGTTCCTTTAATTAAAAAAGGCTTAAAGAAGACTCCATTTAAAATAGTTTTAATAATAAATCTGTTTTTTGTCGACAGGATGAAGACCAACAAGCTGAAGCAGCGTCAGACGTCCGTGTCGAGTCACAGCAGAAAGGACTTCCAGCGTCTGAACCTCTGGAGGAAAAAGCTTAAAGTTCAATATCGTCTACGAAGCTCATTAGTTATAAAATATTTGTGCTTTTGAATTTAAATTCCTCTCCTCTGAAACTTAAATTCCTCTCTCCTCGGGAAACGCTGTGAGGTGACGTTTATTTTCCTGAGGAGTTGTGTATTTAATTTAAAGTACAGGTGAACTTTTGTCTCCACGCCTGAATAATTCAGTTTCTTCTGATTCAGTCTCTTTTTGTCTGTTGAGACATTCAAGGATGAAAAGCTGCTTCACTGCCGCAGCCGCTCCATTTCTTTCCACTCGTTGAGTATTTTTTTCCAAATTATTTTCATCTCTTTCGGATGTTTTACCTTAAACTTTAAACTCACTCTGATCTTTTTGTTTGTTTGTTTGTTTTACAATCAGAACTGATATAAAACACTTTTATCCTGCTTGAACGATGCCTTAATATACAGTCCAGAACCACACCTGTTATTGCGCCAAATCATCTTTACCAACTTTGTTTATCCTTTAAAGCAGGGGTGCCCAACCCTGGTCCTTGAGGAACACCATTTTTAGTTTTAGTTGTTTCCCTGCTCCAACACTCCTGATTTCATGATTTAATTACTTCCTCATGTTCTGCAGAAGCCTGTTGTTCACTCAATTATTAAAATCAGGTGTGTCGGAGCAAAGAAACAACTAAAACATGCAGGATGGTGTTCCTCAAGGATCAGGGTTGGGAACCTCTGCTTTTATTGTTGAATCTAAACTAATCATAGTGAAATGTAAAACTTTATATATGGTCACGTTTCAAAGAATCATCAGCTGGAAACTTGAATCAGGAGGATGAAGATATTTTTTAATAATTATCCAGCAGTAACATTAATTTTAAATAGCTTTTTTTTCCAGCTCTGATGGTTTTATTAATGGGTAAACTAAACATGTCAATAAGAAGTTTCTGTGAAATACCTGATGATATAGCTGTTATTGAAAGCTCTTTGTTGTTTCTGTGTTCATTACATTATAGATATGACCAGTTTTCACCACTGATAACGCTCCTAAAATAAAATCAATGCTGCAAATGTGTGAAAAGCTCCCAGAATTCAAATGACGTTTGATGACTGAAGTGGTTTATAAATGTGTATTTTTTTATTTTTTTAAAAAGCTTGGAGTTTAAGCTAATGTGGAGGAAGTATTAGTTGTTTAAATTACATCATGTATTTTAAAAACAACTCTTTATGGAGCTGTTAAATATAATAAAGTGATGAGAAATGGAATAGTTAATTTCCTGAATCTTTTTTTTTTTTTTTTCATTTTAAATCTGTAAAGTTTTCAGTATTTAAATAGAATGTATTTAGTGATTTAAAGAACATTTAGTGAATGCACATACCGTTTAATGAAACTGAAAGTTGTTAAACGTGAAACAAGTTTAATATTTAAGGTTGATCATTCCTTGAAGAAATCCTATAACCCGCTGCCTTTCAAGACCAATATTTAAAATTGAGAACATGTGATTAAGATTTGTTGTTTTGGTCAAAACCGAAATAAATTTATGCACAATATCATGCAATATTTTATGTGTAATTTCTGTGCTTGAAATACAGTATGTGTTGAGGAAGACACAGCAACTACCACATTAAAATGAGCAACTTCCACATTAAACTGTAGCAACTAGTAAACCGTAGCAACTACCACAGTAAACTTAAGCAACTAACAAATTAAACTGTTGCAACTACCACATTAAACTGCAGCAACTAACACATTAAACTGTAGCAACTACCACATTAAACTAGCAATTACCACATTAAACTGTAGCAACTACCACATTAAACTGT